TTTTTCTTCCACGTTGAAAACAGGTTGCAGTGTTTGATGCTGTTTCAATCAATGTCAATGATGTGTCAATGTCATGGATTTATTGCACGCTGTCAATGTCAATGTCAGGGTTGTCAATGTCATATGATCAGTCGTTGCCTTGTCAGTGGCTCAGCCTGCTACAGCAGCCATGCCGCCAAAAAAGCAGCAGCAGCCTGCCATTGCAGACGACAATGACCAGAAGGTTTCCATGAAGGAGGGTCCATCCTTTGTGACAGAAGGCACTGATCTGTGGCCTGGTTGCAGTGATCAGCAGTCAGCAGTGATATTTCACGCATCAAGTAGTTTGAATCCGCTGAGGATTCAGAAGGCTGTGACATTTCTGAAGAAGAAGAGAGTTTGGCCTGGGCAAGGCAATAAGGATTTATGCCGTGGTTTGCCTTTGCTCACGGCAAAGTTCAAAGGTAGCCAGGTGGAGAAGGCCAGCTGTGATTGTCAATGTTCCATTGATGGGATCCCACCCTCAGCGTGTTGCCCTGTCTTCAAATGAATCAGGCGGCCAACTATGTGGGTTGCTTGGGCGATTTGCAATTGTTTGGTGACATTGGCTGCACGTGGCCAACATGCCAACAAATTGAAGAATCGAAGGAGTTTTGGTGGTCCAGCGAAGAGAGATTGCAGTGTCAATTGTTGATCCATTGCTTTGCGACGGAAGACACAGTCAGGGGAGGTTTGATCATAGCTGAAGACGCCACGAGGGTCTTTGCCTTTGTGTTGGCTTGGGCAATGGCGCTAGGGTTTGTGAAGCCCCGGGAGAACCAGGGGGAGGACGACTTGGAGTCAGAATCCTTGCCGTCACCAACCAAGACCAAATTATCTCAGGAGACCAGCAGCCGCTGTTTCCTTTTTTGAGCCAGTCCTGAATACTACCAGAATGCTATCAGTGTCTAATATTTGCTACTGGTCCAGTCAGTCCGTCCAACGCCAGGAGAAATTGGATCTATTTGCAGCCGTGGCGGAGAGCTGTCAATTGGTCATCTCAAGGGTCCATGCAGGAGAACATCGTATCTTGAAGATTTTCCAGAGCGCAGAGGACTTATGCAAGAGAGTTCAGGAATTTGGCAATGCTTTACCATTCCTGTATGCATCCAGATTGATCATGTTGCCAGGACGGCATGATTCCACTATGTCAAAACTTGTGTCAAAACTTGTTGCGTCATTGTAGTCAATGTTGTTGTCAAGTGTCATCCATTGTTCGTCCCAGGCTTCGAGATTCTTTGCGTTCGGCGGGGCAAATTTGCACACACGAAGCCGTGTTTGCACAGATGAAGAGCATTCAGTTTGACACTGATGAGACCACGGTCAAAACCGCTGACATGATTCAGAAGCTCATTACTATGCATGAGAAAGCCGCTCGTGCAGGAAGTGATGTCATGGGAATGATGCAATCTTCGCAAATCATTGGAAAGGAGAGGACATGGATTGGAAAGTGGAGTGTGGTGACACGGGTGTGTCTTGCCTCAACAAACGCAAGCTTTTCCGTCATAATCCGGGTAACGACCCATTTGCAAAGCTCAGGTGCGCTGCCATCAAAGGTGTACGAGAGTTCCGATTTGTGATGCTTTTGATCTGCAAGGCCAGGCCAGGTGCTCCCTTGAACAGACTTGCCTCAGTAGTAACTCAGTTGAGTTCCTTGCATTGCTCAGCAAGGGCATGCAGACCAACAGCGAATGGCGCAATCTCACCAGAGAACAAGCAGTTGAGGCCAGCGTCTTTGATCCATGCAGTCTTTTGTAAGAAGTAAGAACCATGACATAGCACGAAGTAAGAATGTCAGGTCACGCATATGCAGCTGCTGAAGTGGAAGATTTTGCAATCTCTTGCCAAGCTGAAGTCGCCCAGTGAGACAGAGAGTGAGAGCAGTGGCTGGGCTGCTTGGATCGCCAAGGCTTCTGAACCCAATGTTGGGCAGCAGCATTTGGCTGATATCGGCTTCATGAATGATCGGTATGTAGCAGCTGCCCAATTCGCTGTGAAGCTGCTGGATGGTACGCACGATCGGCTTTTGACGGCGGCTGTTCACAGTGGACAGAAGGCCTTCTGCTTCTCTGTGCTGGGCTGCCTTTGTGGTTCTGATGCTA